TTATAGGTGTGGGGGTCAGAAAGTGCATTCCGAAGACAAAAGGAGTGGAAAGCAGGGGGCCTGAACTCTGAGAGAAACCTACCATTTGGGAACAGAGACTGCACTATCCAGAACAGGAGGAAGCTGGCTCAGCCAGCCTATGGTAGACTTGCCTTGCCTTCACAAAGAGTTCTCTGTGGCCACAGATGCATCCTGGACTTAGGGGAGCAGTGAGGTAACCCTGTACCTTCTTTGTCTTTAGTCATGGGACATTTTTTTTCGCAACACGAATGCCGGAGCCCCACCGGGCACTGCCTACCAGAGTCCCCTTCCCCTGAGCCGAGGCTCCCTGGCTGCTGTGGCCCATGCACAGTCCCTGGTGGAAGCACAGCCCAACGTGGACAAGCTCGTGGAGGACCACCTGGCGGTGCAGTCTCTCATCAGGGCGTATCAGGTAAGCCGGGCGCTGACTGTCCACACAGGAAAGGGTGCAGTGTTCCTTAGGTTGTGCCTCCTGGGCCCTCTGGCCTTTCTGAGCGTACGTTGTCATTTTACTTACACCTCCTCAAACGCAAGGTGCTTTGGGAGGCTAAAAAAGCAAATACACGGGAGAAGAGGAACCAGGCTAGCCCTATTTGAGCAAATCTGGCACCACTAATGCCTGCCCCATAAAGGGCTCCTTACTTCTTTTCCTATGTTGGCAAGAAATATTTGTGGGCAGGGAAACCAAGTCATTACCTGGGCATCAAGGAGAAGTGCCCATCCGCCAGTGAGCAGTGGCTGGGAAGGGTGGGTGGTTGATGCACCCTTCTCAGTTGCTAATAACTGAGTACTGTAAGAGGAGAAAACCTATAGAGTCTGGGGACACGGAGGCAGGGAGAGGCAGCTGAGGGTATAGCTGAGCCTACAGAGAGCAGTGAGGGGCGGGAGAACTCTCCAAAAGCCTTGCAGTTGGTGGCCAGTCTCATTAGGCAAGTGTCAAGCAGGACAGGGCTTTTCCTCCCTATCCTTTCCCAGAGCACAATAACCAAAGTTTTTCTAGAATGTCCACCTGATACATGGGGAGACCCCAGAGTTCAGACCTTAAGATTTCATCTGTGATAGTCTAAGGAGGACAGGTAGAGACAAGTGAGCCCGGTGCCTCCCTTCTGGAAGCTCCCATGGGCATCCAGTACCCTGCCGCCTGTTCTTGTGTCACTGCTTCGGTGGCAACAAGGGGACTCATGTCCCTGGGCTATCTTTTCTCTCTCGTGCTTTGGTTTCTGGTGGCATGGGCCATTTCCTCTGCCAGCAGGGCAGCAGTGCAGGTGTTGTAATGGGGCAACATCAGGGGAGGCCTTGGATCTGGGGCCCTTCATGCCATGGCCTGGCAAATAAAACTCTCTCCCTGGGGCAAGTGTATTCTGCCTTAGAAAGGAGGTGCACGGCGTTTTGTAAATGCCATAATCTTTTACTCTAAAGTGCTATCCATGTGGACATTTGCATGAGGAGGAGGCCTAGTGGTGTTTCTGTATCCCTGCCTGCACGTAGTTGGCCTCCGTAACAACTTTAGCTTGATCTTGCAGTGACTTACCAGCAGCTGCTCCCTTCTCAAATTGCTAGCAAGAAATTGTGAAAGACTCTTAAATTGGAAGGGATTTTCTTTCTCCTTTTGGTTTTTAAATAGTTCAGATCAGATGTTTTAAGCCTGTGTGGTAGCAGCATTTTTTTGTTCTGACTACTGTGTGCTGACCTACTCAGGAGCACCAGGACCAGAGCCCTCACTCCTCACGGTATATAATAATAAAGGCAGACCTTCTTAGTAATCTGACGTCTTACCTGCACACCTCCCCAGCTAAAGCCAACACTTAAGCCTTCATTTTCCTCCTTAGGAAAATGTTTCTTTAAAATGTATATATTTATTCTAAATTGAGATGAGGTCTCACTGTGTTACCCAGTTTAGCCTCAAACTCCTAGGCTCAAGAGATCCTCCTGCCTCAGCCTCCTAAGTAGCTGGGAGTACAGGCATGTGCTACTGTACCTGGCACATTAGCAAAACGTTTGTGTTCTGAGCTGAGGCAGGCTTCACATTGGAGTAAGAATTGCCTAGCATATCTCATTTCTGTTTATCCATGGAAACTGTAAAGATCCCAAGACATGTCCTTTCAGACTCCCAAGTTTATCATAACCTAAGTTAATCTCTTTTTTATAAAATTACATTTATGCACAGTAGTGCTTTTGAAATAAGTTATTCCAAGACTTTTAAAAACTAATTTTGTCATATGGGTTTATTGGTACGTGTTCCTCTTTGGGAAAGGTTTGCCTAACGTTGACTCTTTTAACCCTCCGCACAGCTCACTGGATCTGCTTAATGACTTACTTGTGTTATTGCTTCCAGGTCAGGGGTCACCACATTGCAAAACTTGATCCTCTCGGAATTAGTTGTGTAAATTTTGATGATGCTCCAGTAACTGTTTCTTCAAACGTGGGTGAGAATTAAGCTGTAAATGCTAATTTTAATGTAATTTTACTTTTTTTTTTTACCCCTTCCCTCTTTTTTTTCTCCTGTCCTTTTGTGTGTGTCCTTCCCTCTCATCGTTGGCCCACTCATAGATACGAGGGCACCATGTAGCACAGCTGGACCCCCTGGGGATTTTGGATGCTGATCTGGACTCCTCCGTGCCCGCTGACATTATCTCATCCACAGACAAACTTGGTGAGGGTCTGAGAGCAGTCAGCTGCGTTGCTTGAGCTCCTCTCGCTGTGCCACGACCTGTGGTAGCCAGGATGTCCAGGCAGGAGGGAAAGGCTCTTAAGTTTCCTTTCGTTCTGATCACTTGAAATTTATCGGTATTGCAGCCTTAGTGTGTTTTGGTCAAGTTATTTTTATCTTACATTTTCAGCCAGATTGTCTAAGTCTCAAAATTTGAAAATAAAATTTTGGACAGAAAGGTTTGTGGCATAGGGAAAAAGTTTGTCCACCTGGGGCAGGTGGATCAGAAGCACTTCAGAGTATAGCTCTTTTGGCTTCAGGTTTCCAAATCTCATTGCAGCACTGCCTTCAGTGAGGCACGTCCATGAGGCCTTGCTCAGGAACTGCTGACACAGCTGCCCTTTTCTGAAGCCTGGTGTGGCCTGCCCTTGACCGGAGGCCATGTCCCTTAGGGGACGAATTCCAGAGCAAGTTGTGCAGTTTGGGTCTCCTGATTTGTAATTGCTGGTGATCACACTGAGGAAACTTTGGAAGGCATTCCCACAGCGTCAGGAGGTCAGGGCCTTTGGGAGGTGCATGTATGGAGCACAATTGGGGTTTTGTCACTGATACCAAAAGGTAGTCCCACCTGCACCCCCTCCTCCTCCTGAAGTGAGGCAGGTGTTGTGGCTGGGCTCTCACCTGTAGTTGCTTTGCAGAGTTAATCTGCTTCACGTCACTGTGCTGCTAACCTGTACTAAAGAAATGATGATGTGACTAATTTTTACATGGCCAGGGTGTTCACAATACACACTGTGCATGCTGATGAAATTGATGATCGCTTACCTGCCTAATACTGCTGTTGGGGTGGACATAGAATTAGCCTTGTCACAGGCACTTTTGAGGAATGGTGCAGACAGTCTTTATAGGCATTACCAAGTTATGTCTAGGGGATGAAGCATTAATCAAGTAAACATCAAACATCATCGACTTTGGAATTGGCGTTGATGGTTTGTAATTGTTTTTTGTCTTGATTTCAAAAACACTCCTAGATAGTATAGGGTTTCCTTTACATTATACCAGCCCTTTAGCAGATTTAGGAAGGGAATTTAGAGAAATCCTCTTGAATTTTATTGATTAGGGCCAGTTTGGATTGTAGACTGGGCATTAATTGAACCCTGTTTTTTCATTCAATGATGACAACTTTGTGTTCCCAAGAAGTGACCTCTCTTTGCAGTGTCCCCGGGAGGTCTTAGAGCTTCTTCCCTACTGCTCACCCCTTAGTATAGAGATCCTCCCCGCTGTCACCCCCAGTCCCATCACAGCCTGTCTGCCCTGAGCCTCTCCAGCCCCCTGTGCTCACTACCCCCAGAGACTTCTAGACTTGTGGGGTCTCCCTCAGGTGCTCCGATTAGGCCAAACTCTTCAGCTGGTAGACTTGCTACTCCCTGATAAAGAGTGCAGGGACCTGCAACTCGAAGCCACCTCTTTAGAGGAAAACCTCCCTCTGCATTTAGGCAGGGCAGGGGAGCTGTGGAATGCTCATTTTTTTTCTTTTTGTGTGTGAGATGGAATCTTGCTCTGTCACCCAGGCTGGAGTGCAGTGGTGAGATCTTGACTCACCGCAACCTTTACCTCCCAGATTCAAGCGATTCTCTTGCCTCAGCCTCCCAAGTAGCTGAGACTATAGGCGTGCACCACCATGCCTGGCTAATTTTTGTATTCTTAGTAGAGACAGGGTTTCACCGTGTCAGCCAGGCTGGTCTCGAACTCCTGACTTTGTGATCCCTCCCACCTTGGCCTCCCAAAGTGCAGGGATTACAGCCATGAACCACTGGGCCTGGCTGGAGTGCTCATTTTCTACAAGCAGCAAAACATTTGAACAGGAGAGGAGCAAGTGAAGTGACCAGCTCTCCCTCTCCTGTCAGAACCTGCATTGTCCCAGCTCCTCGTCCCCACTGTACACATTAGTATAACCAGGGAGCTCTAAAGCTCTCCCCTCCCTCTTCAGACTAGTATCAAGAGGAGCCATACCTAGGTGATCCCAACCCAGCATAGTCTTTGAAGGGTGAGAAACCCTAAGCACTGTCAACATACCCAGTAATTTCCCATCTCATTAATGACTAAGGCAGAGCCAGAATCTGGGAATCCTACCTCCATAGTTCCTCCCAGGCCATCACAAGGTTTCACTGTACATTTCACTCGGTGAGGCTTGTGGTTCCAGATTCAGCAACATCATGGTGCGGGTAAGAGGACAGAAGGACTTTATAAACCAAGAAACTAAAACATACAGAAGTGGCCCTAAAGCTTCCTGAAATCCTTTGAGGAAGGAAAACTTCTGGCCTTTCTAGCCAGGAGCCCTTTGGAACCACTGAGAGAGAGTCAGGGAGTAGTCTCCACTTTTCAGGAGGAAGGTGCATTTTAATCCTGTGGATTTGAAATAGTGTGACCTGGCCGGGCGTGGTAGCTCAAGCCTGTAATCCCAGCACTTTGGGAGGCCGAGGCGGGTGGATCACGAGGTCAAGAGATCGAGACCATCCTGGTCAACATGGTGAAACCCCGTCTCTACTAAAAATACAAAACATTAGCTGGGCATGGTGGTGCGTGCCTGTAATCCCAGCTACTCAGGAGGCCGAGGCAGGAGAATTGCCTGAACCCAGGAGGAGGAGGTTGCAGTGAGCCGAGATCGCGCCATTGCACTCCAGCCTGGGTAACATGAGTGAAACTCCGTCTCAAAAAAAAAAAAAAGAAATAGTGTGACCTAAAAATCACAATAACGTCTTCAGGTGCAAAAAAAATGGAAATGGTGTAAACTTGTTGAACATTTGGATCTGTAGGAAAATTGGCCTTGAACTCTCACCGTTGATGTATGCAGGTCTTCAAGAAAACAGCAGGTCAAATGTGACCACTAGACAGTTTGTAGAACACTTCAAGATCCGTCATCTCATTCGAACTTCAGAGAGCCTGGACTCTGGAGCCACAGTCCCTGGATTGGAATCCCAGCTCGCTATTACTGGCTGTGTGACCTTGGGCTAGTTGCTTAACCTCTCTATCCTCAGTCACCTCATGTAAGGCAGGGGTGATGGTACCTACCTCCTCAGGTGGTTTCAAAATTGAATGAACCCCTTAAAGTAGTGCCTGGACCTTACTCTGCTCCGAGTGGGCTTATTAGCAATCTTTTGAGATGAGTAGCTGCCACTCTCTGGTAATAACTGAGAGGTCAAGCAAGAAGACCAGGAACACACAGGAGTTAATGGTGAAGACTGCCCTAAGGAACCAGCGTAGCATCTAGTGCAGGAATTTGCAAACTAAGAAGTGAGGACTCTGTATGGGGGGATGTTTGGGTCCACAAGAACTGTTTGCCAGCTTAGGAATGAGGCAGTAGAAGGGACAGGCTGAGTGGCCACCCGGTGACCCGACCGACCAGTGTGTAGACTGGGGTCAGGGACGCGTTGTATGGTCATGTCCTGTGTCACATGACATTTTTCCCCAGAGCTAGGATTCTTCCCATACCTCGGCTTATCTGCCCTTCCCACCTCCCTGTGGATTTAGACACAGTTTCTCCCTCTCCTTGGGAAAACGGGCCCAGAGCAGTGATCATACCCATATTTGAACATAGCCCTTGGTGCTTCTGTCAGAACTTGTTCTGTCTCTTGTTGGAAAAGTTCCAGTTCGGGGGCAGCAATGGAGAGCAGGAGCCATTGGCAAAGCCATTCATTCTCAAAGAGCACTTGTGATGCCACTCTGAAAACACTCTGCCAGCTGATCACCTGGGTGGTCAGCCAGTTTGGTCTGCAGTGCAAGCAGGGGGTTTTGTCTGCTCTGAGTTTTTTTAATAAAGTGGAGTATATGTTGTAGTTTGCACTGAGTTGGCTTTTATGACCGATTTTTAAAAGTTTGGGAAATTCTGGCTTAGGGCACCTATATCCTCACTTCTCGGAAATTCTCCTGGTCCCTGAAATAATAGGGAAAGATAATTAACAAGTAGACTCTTGCCAGTTAAGAGAAACTCTACAGACACAAAACTCAATAGCCCCTGAGTGTCAGGATTTACCATCAGATGTTATGGACACACTATTGCCCTCAGTTTTATCTTTCAAGTGCAGCATGACAGAACTTGTTATGAATACAATAAAAATATGGTTGAGATGAAAGGGCTAGTGATTTTTTATTTTAATTAATTTTTGGGGGCGGAGAACAGAGTCTTTTTTTTTTTTTTTTTAAGACAGGGTTTCACCATGTTGGTCAGGCTGATCTTGAACTCGCGACCTCAGGTGATCCGCCCGCCTTGGCCTCCAAAGTGCTTGAATTACAGGCGTGAGCCACCACGCCCAGCCTAGAGTCTTTTTTTTTTTTTTTTTTTTTTTTTTTTTTG